GTCTTGTACAGCCACTGTGGAAAGCGATTTAGAAATACCTAAAGCAAATGGAAATCGAGTTACCCTATGACCCAGCAATTCCACCACTGGGCATCTACCCATTAGAAATAAGAAACAGGCCACTACCAGACATCTGTGCTCCAATGTTCATCAATGCACAGTTCACAATCACAAAGAACTGGAAATAGCCTAATTTTCCATCAATAAATGAATGGATTAAAAAACCTCTGGTATATACAAACAATGGAGTACCACACATCCCTAAAAAATAGTGATGAAAAGATGAAGCACCTTGTCTCATGGAAAGAGTTGCAGGATATTATACTAAGCAAAGTTTGCCAAGCACAAAAGGACAAGAACATGAGTCCACTGAGGTAAGGTCAAACAACAGAATGGGCATAAGGGAAAATGCACATTTTTCATTTTCCCAGGCTGAGGACCAGATACTCTAACAAGAGCAAGCCCAAACACCATGATGCATACACCACCAAAAAAAGAAAAGGAAAATATTTAAAAGATGCAGATAGCACCTGTGTAGAAAGACATCTTCCACCCCATCCCCCACACATCCCACACCCATCGTATGCCTTTATGACCTATAGAGGGGTGGGGGAGGATAAAAAGATGGCTATGAAGGAACAGGGCACTAATTCACCCACATGCAGGGTATTGTTTATGCCTCCACAGGAAAGGGAGAGAGAGCAGACCTCTTTCTGGTGTGCCAAGCTTTGAGGGTGATGTTCCTGCTCAAAGCAGCTCATACAGAGAGAGGATTGCAGGGCTAACCTCAGCTCAAGACATGATGTCCCCTCCCTTCACGACAGGGCTACAGAGGACAGCACTGAAGATACAGTTCGGGGAGTGCGACTGGTCTGGCCCACCCACATGGAGATAAACCAATAGGGGAGTGCTACAGAACAGCAATGGGAGCAAGTCCCTGTGGTATCTTGGTTATAGCCTTCAGACTCTGAGGGCAGCACTTGGCACCTCATCTGAACTGGTTGGGGGATATTCACTAGAGGACACACAAAAGTCTAAAGGTGCAATGGGGTGGAAGGTAGGGCACTAGACCCCTCCCTCCCTGACTGCAGGAAGAGCAATGGGGTCTTGTAGAAGGCATGCCCCTCGGACTTGAACACTAGGAACTAACAAGGTTTAAGTGCTGTTAGGTAAGCAGGGCCCAGATTATGGAACCCTGAAAAATAAGGGGATTGAACCAATGGAATATGACAGGGCCTGCTCACTATTTAACAGAGGGATACTCTGGATCTGGACAATAGTTAGACTTGAAACTATTTGGTGTCTTCTCTCTGTTTCTCTCTCACACACACACACACCGGGTAAGATAGGCAGAATAAACTATCCCAAGGAGACAACAATGGGACCGATAGTACTGGGATGGGGCATGTGAA